TGAAGCTAGAACTGTCAGCTGTCAAATGACATAGCAATAACATAGATGCGAATGACTCTAGTACTTCCAAAAATGAACTAGTGCCATCTGTCGTAAACATGTCTCATGACTTTTCTGACAACCCAGTGTATTTGATTATTGTTGTGATTGATGGTCAGGAATTTCATGTCCAAAAAGAGCATCTACGAAGGCCTGAAAAGTTAGCATTTTTATCTATGTCAGTTTTCCGTAAAGTTGGAACGTCACCTTTTTCATTAGCTATGTTTTAAAGAATTAGGTTGAATATGAAATTTCCTATATTTGACCATATTTCACCTAAAAAAAAAGGCAATTTCATAAGAGTCAACCTAGTGTTTTTTTCTATTTCTGTTTGATTCCTTCTGTAAAATAAGGCACCCTTTGGGTTTAAGTTGTCTCTTTTAAGTTTCAGGATTCGTGGGTTGGGGAGTAGAGGGAAATGAAAATAAAAGTATCAAGAGATTTTTAAATCTTTGATTAATTGGCAAATAAATCTTTAACATGAGTTTATAGCCCACAATGCTAACAATACATATGATTAAGATGTCATATTTCTGTTTCTCTTTCTTGATAAACACAGTTTTATGCTATAAACAGATAAACCTTATCATTTAGAAATACTTCTCTATTTAAAATTCTGTGAATCATGCTGTTCTTCAATACAGTATAACTGTCTTAAAGAACAGAAACACTTTTTTTTTCTTTTTAAGACAAAATGTTCCATTTGAAGAATATACAAGGCTTCAAAAAAGACTAAAGGATATACAGAGAAGACATAATGAATTTCGAAGTTTAATTTTGGTTCCTAACATACCTCCAGCAGCAGCATCCATCAACCCTGTTAGCTTTCAGTCCTCAGCCGTGGCCCCAGGCATGGAGCTGGGCTTTCTTCCTCATGTGCAGGTATGAGCCTTTATTTTAGGGGAAAGAAGTTAAGCAAACATTTCTGTAAGTTGTTACCTGTTTAAACACAGAATTAAAAGCTCATGTCTTTCTTTACCAGGGAAATTTGCTGATAAGCAAAGTGGATTTGAATCTGTTCTGTCCTTTACTGATGGTGCTAGCAGTAAAATCTCCTATTAGGCAACTGAAGAGAAGGAACTTGATTGATGAGCGTTCGAGTAATCGAGAGTTAGTAGCTCACTCATGTAATTACTACTGCCGAGCATCTACTAATGCATTGCACTATGCGTTTTCCATACAATATTCTATTTAATCCTAATGAAAAATGCTCTTAGAGAAGTTAGTATCATTCCCAATTTCAGTCTATATCTGTCGTATTTCAAAGCCTGGGCTGATCCTACTGTATTAGATCCCCAAGACATTGAAGGAATCCAGTTGATTGGAGGATTTTTAGAAGATGAACTGTTAATAAGTGATTACATTTATAATGCTCTAAGAGCACCAAAGATTGTAGTCACTGACTTGAATCTCAGACCAAGTGCTTTGTTTAGAATAAACTGCTGTTAAACTCCAGTCTTATTAGGAAGTTGTCATATAAGCACACCTAGCACGTGCACAGTATTTTCGAATTCACTTCCTGGTGAGTTTAGACCTAGAGAAGGATAGAGCTGGGGTTTTGCCTAAGGCTAGAGCTTGGGGCAGGAGAGAAACAAGGACTGACTGGTTCGTAGTCTAGCCCATGCTGCTGTGTTCTTAGGCTGCTGAATGCTCATCCTTTCCTGGCCAGATGTGGCAGGCCTGAGTACAAGAGGACGGAGGCTGCTGTCTGTTATTTTTCCACCAGTTTTTCTAACTGTCTTTTCCTGAACCCTGTCTGCTTCCCCCCACTCCGCCCCCTTTTTCTGTGCTTTTAAGGAGGAACAGCATCAAAGGGAACTCTCTCTACTTCGTAAAAGATTGGAAGAACTAGAAACAACACAAAGAAAACAACTAGAGGAACTTGGATCCTCGGGAGAATGATGTTTTGGAGAAAAGGCAGATCAAAAAGGATGAAATCAGTGACTCAAGAAAGCTTGAAGTTTTAACATATGTGGCATTTAGATACTTTATTACTGTTTGCCAAAACACTTAAATTTGCGTCAAGAAAAGGTATGAGCTGCTGTATTGCGCCCGTGTCAGGGTTTTAGGATTGTATTAATGACAAGTGAAGCATTAAAACAGCTTCAGAGCTATGTAGAATATTTATTGACAACCCTTTGAGAATGTAAAAAATAATGAATAAATAAAAGAAACTAGGAAATCAAGTTTAAAAATCATTTTATTAATTTTACTTTGTTGAATTTTTTTGGCATTTTGCCTGAAACATGCCCATGTTGAATTCCTTCTAACTCTTTGAGATGTTTGGCAATGACAGCATCAGTAAACATTTTCTAGTTTACTGTACACAAGAGTTATAAACCTCTACTTCTTGAAAAAAATGTCAATTTATAGGTCAGCATAAAAAAATACAACTTAAAATATCTAAATATATATTCATTACAAAATGCTACCTTTTCTACAAGATGTGTGCATATAATTTATTAAAGATCTTAATATTTTTCTACCTACCTATATTGTCTTGTGTTTGATTTTATTTCAACCACCCAGTATGCTTTTAGCAATGTACAGGAGCTCACTGATTTTGACTTTGGAGTTAGAGTGAATAGAAAATAACAAAGTACAAATAATTGAATCCTGTGACTTTATAGAACAAGGGCCATTCATTGTAAAACTTAACCCAGTGGGGTCCCTTTAGAAGTATTGTTGGTATTTAACTTTGCTTCCCATGGCTTTGAATCTAACCAGATTATTATAAATGTTTTATGTCTGTGCATCCTTAAGTATGCCATCATTTGCTTTTTTATTGTAACATCATCTTTTAAAGGAATTCTGCTGGAATAGCTTTAGGTCAATAAGGCAAAGCTCAAGTCTGCCAAACCAAATGGAGTGTGCATTATCCAGAAGTTTTCACGATCAAAAGTCCAAGTTGATACTGGATGCCGGCAGTACAATTGCGGAGCCCTCAGCATCACTTAGAAAAAACGAGATTTACTTACTACATAACACAGCTGCTTATTCACATAGTGTGTACAGTGACACCTTGTTCCTGGAAGATAATTTCCATGCAGCCACTTTGAATAAAAAAACCTATTATAACTAGAAAATGTGAAAGAAAAAAACAACAAAAACAGTCCATACTTACATCAAAATGTTTATTTTGGATATAGACATTTAAAACATTGATCTCCAAGAACAGCTTCAATCAAGTATACAATAAGAAATAGACTTCAACTCCCTAATACAGAAAAGGGAACAGAATTAATCTTTAAATGCTGCTGTAGACACTAGTGTTAGGAAAAAAAAGTTTATAAATGGTTTTGCACCAAAAAAATACGCAAAGAAACTTGAAAATAGAAATTGTTTGCCATTTGTTTCTCTGGTTGCTGTTTAATATCGACTGATTGTCTCCAGCACACATCGAATTTGGCCATTGACGTCATTTGGCTAATGTGGTCAGATAGTGCCTTTCACTGGAGGATTGACAAACACGCTACATATATTAGTGAGTCTTCACACCACCTCAGTGAGGTAGGACAGAATAGACAGAAGTAGGCACAAAGAGGTAAGTGACTCGCCCAGAGTCCCCAGCAGCACAGCCCCCGGAAGAGGAGGGCAGTCTCCCCACAGGACTCGTGCCGGGGAGCTGGGCAGGGACACCCTCGTGTCGCATTGACTGGTACTGACGGAGATAAAGCTGTCGCTGATCCCTGGCGCTTCGGCACTTCTGTACTCTAGAGAAGAGGAAGGCTTTGGGGCAACTCTCCTACCGTTGGCGCTCGGCTCTCCTGCTGGTGTTCCCTTACGAATGCCTTCACATCAAGACTGTAGCAGCCTTAGATGCGGGCCTCGCCTCTCGCCTTCATACTCATAAGAAACTTATTTGGTAGTATTTTTGAGGTGTTTCCACTGGACGGACAGTGGTCAAAAGCGATGGGGTTGGGAAGGTGCCTGTCGGGGCAGTCACTGCTTATTTTCTCTGGTCAGTGTGTGGAGGTGTCACCTCTCACTTTTTACCAGATATTGAGGAGCAAAACAAATTGCATTTCTCTAAGACAAATTCAGACGGAAATCCTGATACAGTGTTGGTAGATGGTTTTAAGGAGTGTGTGATCCATGTTGTATTTGCTACTTGAAAACATTGCTTTCTTCAGCCTGGGATTTGGAGCTCCTAGGGTGCAAGGTGCCACGTAAAGAAAGTTTGAGAGTTGCCAATTAAACTTTTCACTTCTGATTTATTAGAAGGAAAACACAGTGGTATTAAAATTGGTCATGAGCAGCAAAAATTCAGGAATAAAAAATTGGTAATAAAAAGACTACAATGTTAACAGGATAAGGAATTCTTTAAAAAGAAAGGCATGAATAAAATGAGTATTTTTACTTCTCTCGTGAGGAATACTGTCAAAAAGTACATAGTAAGACTAAGATACCAAGTTTCATACTAATACTTTTCAGGCCTTGGGCCTCAAATATATATATTCATATATAATACTCCAGTGTGAACAGCGATTTCATGAAATGTAAAATGTATCTTTTTTTTTTTTTAATCACACACAAGTATTTATAACCACAGGGTTCACCAGAAATCTAAAGCAAGGAGACACTAGTATAGAAATGTGGGATTAGGGGAGTGATTTACTCTTCCACAGACCTGATCAGTTTTTAGACAGAAATAAACTAATGATTTTTTTAAACGGTAGCCAACATGTCCACTGTCAAATACATTTAATATGAAAAAAATAAAATGAAAGGGAACATACCTTAAGACAAAGTGTCTAGATAAACTGCTGTGCATTGAAATATAAAGCCTACTCACTCTCCTTGCTTTAGAGCTCCTTAGTGAAATGGAGGTGAGTAGGATGGAGCGCAGTTGATGACCACCAAAAAAAACACGAGCCCTTTCAACAATGTTGCAACACTGTTAGTTTTTGGTTTAAAAACACACACACACACTCACACTCACAAATGCTAAGTGTACTCTACCAATTTCTGTGGTCGGCTTTTCCAAGAACTACTGGGGAAAAGTTTCAGTGCTGCCAATCCTCGAGGTTACCCTAACACCTCCACCTTGTTTCCAAATGACTCATTTCACATTTTGTTTTGATCATTGGCAGCGTCCCTTCTCTGCAGCAGTGCCGTAGTCACAAGTGCTACATAGCTGTAGTTTCCAAACAAAACCACTGACATGATTGTGCTTAAGTGAAGACTAGAGTTGCAGTCCTGACACTTGCTCAGTGGCCCTGTGTTCTCTGTAAACAAGGCGGCTGTTGGCAACAACCACTTTAGCTCTATTTACAGGAGTGGGGTCCCACAGCATACACGCAGGCACAGTAGTTGGTGTGCTTTCTGAAAGCTGTGCATGTGCCCGGGTCTCTTAAAAAGACAGTGCTCAAAGTGGAACCTATGTGCAAACTTAAAACATGAACGACACAGAGTAGCTCAAGCAGCCATTTTGCTCCCAAGTTGTCTGAAGAACTCTGCCAGAGTGAGCCAGGCCCCAGAGTTATCACATCCACTTGCATTTCTTCTTTTCCTCAAATAAGACTTTTACATGCAAGAGTTGTTTCTGAGCTTCTTCCAGCCCTCGTTCTCTTTCTAGTTTATTTAGGATCTGTTGACAATTAGAATAGTTATTTTAGATGTTGTGGTTTTAACATTACAATTAGTTTTGTTCTTTTTTTTTACATTCCTGATGCTGTGAGTAGTAAAATCTGTATGGAGCAGATGCCAACATTTTGTTCAATCATTTACATACTCACTTTGCAAGTTGTTTTGCTAAGTCATTATCACAGGATCAACACCGCTTGGGCTTAAAATAGAAGCTTGCAAGAAATACCAACTAGTTGCTTACAATATGGGGCCAGACTTCCAAGGCCCGGTTTTGTGCACTATGTCACAGCCATTCCAAGCACAGCAAGCATTCCTGGGCAGCCAACATGCAGGCAAATATTGCTTCTTAAATGCAGCAAGCAGGGGCATCCTGATCAGAGACGACTATTTCCCTCCCCTCCTCCCCTCCCCTCCCTTCCCCTCCCCTCCATCCTGGGCAGTGAGTCCTTCCCCTCTCCCCTCCCCTCCCTGGCCTAGTCCTCCCCTCCCCAGTGCTTCCCTTCTAACCCCTGACCCCTGGAAAAGAGGGATGCTTATCATGTTGAAGGAACTCATTGCCTCTACCCTACCTTAGCTCTTCACTTGATCTTCAAGTAGCAAATGGAATGGGTGAGCTATTCTCACCATTGACATGGATAGCCTGTCCCAGCATGACTGAGTGGGGGGGAATCAGGGAAGGGGGAATTAACATATATTTGGAAACAATGCATCTGATGACTATGTCTGTGTGAATTCCCAAAGAAAAAACATCCAGATTAAGGAGAATTCATTATTAAGGAGAATGGTTTATTGAAATAGTTGCTTACGTTAGAAAAATGTCATACTTTCATATAACTATTGAATACAGAATCTAGGTGGTTTAACAAGCTTAGCTTTCATTTTAGCAAGTTACAATCAAGCATAAGCTGGCCCCATTTGATAGGACCACTACTTACTTATCCAAGTTAACCTGAGTCAAGGTGGCTGTAGGCTCCATTAACTCAAGTGTAAATGCAGGCTGGTCCAAAGGCGGCAGAGGCCAGGTGCAGGGTCTGGCTTGGTGCCAGGACCCCATCACGCAGGCTCCCTGGCCTCCCTTTTCTGGCCACTTGGGTTGCCAGAGCTGCACTGACGCCCACAGAATACTTCAGAACCAAATCCAGGTAACTGATTCATACCAATTTTTGAAAATGTCATTTGAAATCTTACCTCATCAAAATATTTTACGATGTATTTGTAGATTTCTGTCAAGGCCACTTCTTCATTAAATTCATTTTCATGTTTCTTTAAGAAAGAAAGGCTTGTTGAGGGATTCTGAAATGACTTTTTTTTTAAGTAACCAAATATCTTATTTCTACTTTCCAACAATACCTTAGATTCCTGAGTTAAGAATTCTTCCATTTCTGAAGATGACAATGGAGGCAAATCCCTGATTGCTTTGTAATAAGATTTTACTTCCTCTTTGTAGGTTGGGATATCCTTGGCATAGAGAAGTTTGTTAGTTGGTGCTTCCTAAAAAAAAAAATAAATAAAATAAAAAGTGCAACCACCACCAAGAGTAGGAAACCCTGGAGAATTTATAACAGTACCCGTGTAGCTGGGCCTCCACCACTGTCGTCACCCTCTGGTAACAAGGCTGCATGCACTTGGCTTTCAGAAATGTTGACTGAATGACTGACTGCTATCCAGATAGTTCCGGTGAGTCACTGTTATTTTCAGGCAGATGAAATGCTAATATATTCTGCCTTCCTCTCATAAAAGAACTAAAATTATTATTTTTGCAAGATTTTGAGTTACTTTAACAATGGAACTTATCTCAATCATAGTTCATTACTGATGGTTGTAAAAAGCCTGAATTAAAACATTTGCTCTCATCCTCACCCACCAGTGAATTTTGGCATTTAGAAAAGATTGATTGTAGGTCTGATTGAGCCCATTATATAATCATGAAAGTGGTAAGTACCTGGCAGTGGCAGGTTTTTCTGCTTGTCCTTTTTATTTTATTATAAAGATCTTCCAGGGTCCCCAGGAAAACACATGATCATTAGTGTGGGTGGATCGAGGTCTAATTTTGCAAAAGGTCCTTGGCAGTTTGAACATTTTTATGTTATTATAACAGTGATCATATTAAAAAATACGTGAAGATTTTATTCTTCACAAAATTTTTAAAAATTCTACTCAGGGAAGATAGGAGAGTTAATAACAGGTCTGAAATGTCCCCGTACATTTTGAAATGTATCAATGGCTTGAATGGCCACATCAGAGCTTGAATCATTCTGAAGGACGCCTGGACTGAGATCTTTTCACTTGTCAAGTTTTAAGTAGAGCCCACAAATCATGCAGTCATTCATTCAATAAAGGTGTATTTAGCTAGGCACTGTAGGCAGGCATCAGGTGTGAAAGACTGGCACCTGCCCTCAGGAAGCTTACAATCTAGTCGGGAAGACAAATTTACACAGTGTTTACTATGATACCAGAAATTAATAACAGGGTGGAGAGTAAAGAAAAAGACTGTAGAATTGGACAAATCAGGGATCATAATAACTTTGATATTAGGCATCTCAGAACATCAATTTCCTCATCTATCAAATGAGGCTAATATTACTACTTTATGTGGTTCTTGGGATTAATTGAAATATACCAAGTGCAAAGTAATTGATACACAGCCATTTTTTACTTTGAATAAATAAGCATATAAGAGTCTTTCGGTGTGTTGGGTGCTATGAGGAACCTTCTTGGTCAAATGAAGAAAGTGCTGTGGGAGCTACATCAGGTGGAAGTTCACAAACTAGGTACATATATTTAGGCTGACCTGAGTCTCCTCCAGTTTCTATTGGGTTGTCGGAAAAGTCATGACACATTTTGTCTACATTTTTCAGAGGTTATTTATTTATATAAATAACAAAGATCAATCAATGATATATTGCCTGTTTTGTTCGATAACCTTTTGCCATCTTTCAGTGAGCTTCATAATTCCTCGTTCATAGAAGGACCTGTCTTTATTTGCAAAAAACTGAACAAGGTGCTGATTTACAGCCTCATCTGAATTGAACGTTATACCACGCAAGGAGTTTTGAGGAGAGCAAAACAGGTGGAAATCTGACAGCACAAGGTCAGATGAGTATGGTGGGTGTGGCAACACATCCCATCCAAGCTCCAGTAATTTTTGATGGGTGATCAAACTTGTGTGTGGTCTCACGTTGTCACAATGGAACACAACTCCTTTATAATTAACAAGCTCTGGACATTTCTGGATGATGGGTTCGTTCAGACTGTCCAATTGCCGACAGTACACATTCAAATTGATTGTTTGGTTCCTTGGTAGGATCTCGAAAAACACAACACCTTTAAAATCCCTCCACGCTGAGAGCATAACCTTCCTCTGATGAATGTCTGCTTTCGATGTCGTTTGAGGCGAATCATCATGTCAGGGCCAAGACTGTTTGCGCACCACATTGTTGTAAACAATCCACTTCTCATCACCAGTTATCAGTCACTTCAAAAAAGGGTCATTTTCCTCACACTTAATGAGCATATAACAGATGTTTATACGCGCCGTCAAATGAACTTCTTTGAGTTCATGCAGAACCCAAATATCGAGCTTGCTTATGTATCCCAGCTTCTTCAGGTGGTCGTGAATGCTTGAATGATGGATGTTCAATGTTTCTGCAATCTCTTGTGTTGTGTAACGTGGGTGTGACTCGATCAATGCCTTTATTTTGTCGTCATCAACCTCGGTGGACCTCCCTGACCAAGGAGCATCATTGAGATCAAAATCACCGGCACGGAATTTCGTGAACCATCGTTGGCACTGACGTTCTTGTAGAGCATCGTCACCATAAACTTGAGGCAATTTTTCACAAGCTTGACACGCATTCTTCCCTTTATGGAAGTAAAATATGGCAAAAATGCACAGTTTGGTCTTCTATCTTCAACTTGTTGTAAAATCTCCAAAACTCAACCAAATCACTCAATTTTTTTTAAATGAAGCTAGAACTGTCAGCTGTGAAATGACATAGAAATAACATTGATACGAATGACTCTAGTACTTCCAAAAATGAACTAGTGCCATCTGTTGCAAACATGCATGATGCCTTTTCCGACAACCCAATAGTACCCATTGGGAAATGATGTTGAATGAATTAAATGTTTGTGAGTAAATGAATAAGTACGATTTTACTAGACAGGCTTATAAGACAGGAAAAGGATGAACGAAGGGATGTGAAAACAAGTTCATAGGAAGTCTGGGCAAAGGAGAAGCTGTAGCATAGGAGGTCGATGGAATGTGCAAGAAAATGAGGAGGCCAGAAAAGAGACTTGACACCAATCAGGAAGGGCCGTGGCAGGTAAAATAGGAAGTAGTGACAATTTTTAAGCAGAAGACTGACAAGATTAATGTTTTAGAAAGATAACCTGAGACCCAGTGAAAAGGAAAAGTTGGGGAGATGAGATGGACCTCGGGGCAAGGACCCCAGGCAGGAGGCAGTTATCCCAGTGGAGAGGGGATGAAGGGATAGGGCAGAAGGATGGGAAGAAAGGGAGAGACGTTTTAGAGACAGAAACAAGTGGTAACCAATTGGGGGCAGAGGCTGCGGGAACCTCTTCCTTCCTGAGGGAGGAGGAGGAGGAGCTGAAGATAATGCTGAGGATTCTACCTGGAGAAACTACTCAGTGCTGGGAGACAAAAGTAATAAGAGGTTTGTTTTGCAGCACGAGGGGTGATGGTGAGTTTAGACTTAGACCAGGAGCCTGAAGCACCTAGGAAACATCGATCACACTTCATTCCAGGCACTCTTCAAATCCTTCCGCACGAGAGCCACTGCTCAGCTTGAAAAGATTTTCTGGAATCCATTAGTTACAGATAATGCTCAGCTTAATGTATTTTGGAGTGCTTGAATAGGACCAAAACATCTCTTTCAAAGTCTGCTCTGTAGTCTTATCTTCCTTTCCTTTCTTAGGGCTTTTGCTCAGGAAAGAAAACCCTAGTAAAAACAATATTGATGTTTTGATTGTAAACTGACAAACTGATGTTTTGATTATAAATTAACAAATTGTTTATGGGGAAGAATTCCATAAACAGTTCGTTTTATTCAAATAGACTTTTTTAGGTATATTCAGATGGAATTAACTTAGGCCAATTTCAGTGATTTCAGACTTTGGATTAACAGTTTATTAGTGTCTACAGAATGTTTTATACTTTGTGGTAAAGAGTTCTGCAGTTCTGGGATAATCACCTGCTATTTTGGTTTTCATTGAAAAAAACTAGATTAAAACAAAAATGAGATTTTTAAAGAAGAGCGAATTTTCAGTGATATCATTGACTGTTTCTTTGTAGCCGGTGTGATGTAGGCCAGTTGTTTATTATTGGAATGTTTACAAGAAGGAGCACTTCAGACTCTTACAGGAAGCCCTGGAGCTGGGCCTTACCTTGCCGAGTTGCTGCTCCGTGAGAGAAAATGCGTCCATGAACGCCTGGGCAATCACCGATAAACAGCCATCTATGTGTGGGGTCTTCTTAATGTCAAAGACAAACTGCGGGTTCTTCAGGATGTTTACCCAGAAGCGAAGAGGAAGGCTGAGAGAGAGAGAGAGAGAGAGAGAGAGAGAGAGAGAGAGAGATTGAAATTGAGATTGAATCCGGCTGCGTTTGTCCTTGTGATGGAGGTGCAGCAAGTCTGCTTTGCACACCACCCCAAGCAACAGAGGGCAGTGTCACTCAGGGAGAACAAGAAAGGGTTGAACTGACAGCCACTGAAGGGGAGGACGAGAGGAGGATAAGCCTGAAAGTGCCCACTGACAAGACGAAACTATTCTCCAGGTAGTTCTAGATTATACTAGAGGATGATCAGCAGTGAGAACATCTCCTCAGCTCTCCAGAACCTGAGCTCTTCTCACTCGCTCTACGTGCTACACACCCTGGCCTCAGCCACCATCCTCTCACCTGGATTATCACCCCCAGCCCTGGACAGTTAATTTCCTCACAACTACCAGCAACCTCCTCACACAGAATCAGGCCCTGTCTCTGCTTGGCCCAAACCTGCTCTTTGTCCTCCTCTGGATACAGCCCCCCGTGATCTGGGCCTGGGCCCTCACCTCCCACCCCTCACTCCCTCATCCTGCCCCTGGGCCACCCTGCTGCTCGTGCAGCTGGGCCTGCTGGCACCCCAGGACTTGGCTTCCTGTCCATCCTCCTGAAGCTGCCCTGCCCCTGAGGGTTTTATGCCCTCACTTCTTTCAAGACCTGGCTCAGATGTCATGGTCTGTGTGAGGCCTCTGACCACCCTGTCCTGTCACTCTAGCCCCTTTTCCCACTTTGTCCACTGCACCAATCAGCTTCTAATATACTGCAATTTACTCTATCTATTGTCTGTCTCCACCTATTAGAATGCAAGCTTTGTAAGAACACGGATTTTTGTCTGTTTAGTTCATTACTATATCTCCAGCACCTCATAGTAGCTGGCATATAGTAGGTACGCAAATAAATATCTGAATATGAACTTGGGAATCATTCAAAGTCCTTTCATGAGCTACTTTGCAGCTCTGGCCTCTCCAATTAACCTCCATCATATGGCTGTGGAGCCTCTCAATAGCCCTGCTGTCCTGACTGCTGCCCCTGCCCAGATGCCACCACCCTCACCGTGAAATGGTGGCCTGCAGCCCGAGCTTGGTGTGGGAGTAGCAGGGCTGGGAATAAGGCTAGCACACAGGAAGGGAGTGAGCCAGAGTGGAGCTGGGATGGACCTGGGTTACATGGCAGAAGGTCAGACCTACAGGCTGGAATGCCAGCTTTGAATTCTGATTTGAGATGGTCTGGCGAACAGTAATGCCGGGAGGGCTTGAGCTTGCATGGAGGAGCTGCACTGAGTCAGAACCCCGAGTCTCACTCAGCTCACATACAAAGTATTTCAAATAGAGGTAATGAGCTAGGTTTCTTTACTGAGGAGAACTTAGAATGCATTTGGATGCCTTGCCTCAGCTCAAGGTAAAAAGTTGGAAAATGGAACAAAACACAAAACACAATCCTTTGCCTAATTCTCATGATATCTGAGTACCCCATTCGAGCAAATAAAAACAGAAATTTCTATACAGAATCAGTATAGACAGCTTGGAAATTGCAAAGTGATTCTCTGAAGGACAAATAAGAGTCTTCTCTGATGGAAAACTGTATGATCAAACCACAAAACATTAATTTCTCATCTTTTGCTGGTCAAGCTAAACTTGTTTGTACCTTCCAAACAAAGACTTTTTCATGCATTAAAGATAATAGCATTTGTTTATTTTATCCTAAAGACCAGGATTCTCCGCATAGGAATGGTTTCGTTTATTGTTTAAAATAGTAACAGCTGAGTGGCGCATTGGTTAAGAGCTGGCTTGGGACGCCAGAGGGCCCTGGTTCGGATCCCACATATGAGGGCCAGTGACACTGCCCTCTACAGCT